AGGAGGCCAGATTCTGGGGTCCTGCCCTTTCCCAGGGCTTCGTGCAGTGTCAGAGCCAGGGCTTGGGGGCCTGGGTTCTGGTTGGGGTTCTATTCTTTGCCCCGTCTCACAAATTCAGGGAGCTTGAACCTGGATAAGAAAAAAATAAGTGTTTTCTCCATCTCTGGCCCCAGCGGAGCCTTCCCTCACGGTGGGTGCTGGGGGGCCTGTGCGGGCGGGACGTCAGGGCTGCCTGCACGCAGCTCCCCGGGGGCTGGTTACCGGTGGCACTAAGCCTGGTGGTCTTCCTCATACTCGGGGACCTTTCCGTTTGTGCCTGTGAGTCCCGTGGACTGGTTCGTGCACTGAACACCTGAGTCGGGCCCGCAGGCCCCACCACACTCACGGGAGCACCATCGAGACGCGAGCCTCCTCTCCGGGAGGCCTCCCTGCACAGCGTGGACCTGGATCGGGCAGCCGCTCTCCCTGTCCTCCAGGAGCTCACCTGCGTCCGGCCGTGAGCTCCTCGGGGCCAGAGCCCGCGTCTGCCTCCGTGCCAGCGCCAGCCCAGGACCCCGAGGGCAAGGGCCCACCCCACACAGCCTGCCTGCCCACCTGCGCAGGGCCCACCGACGCTCCAGGGCATTTATGTGGCTCATCCCAGCGCAGCCTCCTCAGCTGCTGACGTGCAGATCCTCGGAAGTGACTTCCGTTCTGATCAGGGTATTGCCAGCCGGTGGAGGGAGAGCTTCCCCGCTCCCTCTGCAGCCCCAAGGAGGTAACTCGGGGCCACTCACGGGGGTTTAGGCAGATGTTTCCGCGGGGTGGGGCGGCTGGGGAATTGGCCTTTAGGGACGTACAGTCTGAGTCTGTGTCCTCAGCTGACAAAGCTGCTGAGCGTGACTGTGTTGTCTGGACTTTGGGGGGCGGGGGGGGCCTGGCGGTGGCCTTGGCTCTGGTTTGGAGGTTAAGTTAGCACCAGGGACGCGGCACAGGGCACAGGGTGCGTCGAGTTATCCTGTGTAAAAGGCTAAGTGACCGGCCGTACGTATGTCCGACCACCGGGCCGGTACATAGGACATGCACTGGCAATTTAAAAATGAACGTTGACTTGCGCACATGCGATACATATAAGCTCTCGGAATGGGTATTAGTGAAATCCCCTGTGAAATGATTTGTAACGGATCCATTATTGAAGCTACCTTTGCAAATAGCATATCTATAGATAATATTTTTAAAAATCTAAATGTGCGATTCTTTGTCCTAAAAATGAGCGTGTTCATAAATTAAATGAAGAAATTTTGGATATACTCGGTGGAGATTTTCACACCTAGTTGAGTGATGATTCCATCGATTCAATGGATGATGCTGAAAAGGAAAATTTTCCCATCGAATTTCTTAATAGTATTATTCCTTCGGGAATGCATGTCATAAGTTAAAATTGAAAGTAGACACACTCATCATGCTACTGAGAAATCTTAATAGTAAATGGGGTCTTTGTAATGGCACTAGATTTATTATCAAAAGGTTGCGACCTAACATAATCGAAGCTGAAGTATTAACAGGATCTGCAGAAGGAGAGGTTCTGATTCCAAGAATTGATTTGTCCCCATCTGACACTGGCCTCTCATTTAAATTAATTCGAAGACAGTTTCCCGTGATGCCAGCATTTGCGATGACAATAAATCACAAGGACAAACTAGACAGACTAGGAATATTCCTACCTGAACCTGCTTTCACACATGGTCAGTTACATGTTGCTTTCTCTCCAGTCGAAGAGTGTGTGACATTCACGTTAAAGTTGTAAATACCTGATCACAAGGGAAATTAGTCAAGCACTCTGAAAGTGTTTTTACTCTTAATGTGGTATACAGGGAGATATTAGAATAAGTTTAATAAATGTATCAGTCATTGTTTTTATCAATGTTTTTATATCATTTTTGTTTTTATATCATGTTTTTTGTTTTTATGTCATATCTTTGTTGTTATATCATGTTATTGCTTATTAATCAACTTATATATTTTCAGATACATTTTACTAATTTCCTTTCATCTCTGACACTCCTACTACAGAGAAAGGGCGAATAGCGATATTAAAATATTTCTTCTAATTAATTTCCTGTCAGTGTGCACGAATCCATGCACCAGCCACTAGTTTCAAAATAAAAGGCTTCTTTCAAAATTGTGGGAAACACTCATTGGTTTTAGCAGAGGGAAAAGGCAATGTGCTGCCGTGCGTTACCCTTTCATTTTTTAATCGTTGGGGTAATAAGTCCAGTGGAAGTTTAGGCTCTGACCCTGCGCAGGTGGGGACGTGGCTTCCCCTGGGGAAGGAGGGGGCTCCTCGGGGACAGCGGTTCTGGGACCCGCCTCCGTCCGTCCCTGAGCTCCGGGCTCTGCAGGGCCGGGCTGGCTCGGCTTGTGGACAGGTGCTGTGGTTGGGGCCCACTCGGCCTCAGGGGCCTCTGGCGCAGCTCCAGCCGCGGCTGCCCTTTGGGACTGTCCACCTCCGCAAACAGGCTGAGCCAGCAGCTGCCTCTCCCAGCCCAGGCCTCCCGCCCCCCCTGTGGCCGCTCGAGAGCAGCGTCACTTTCAGTGCACACTTCCCTCACCCACTGGGGCTGGGGGGTGGGAGGGGGCGGAGGTGCTCCCCTGAGGAAGCCCAGGCCAGCCCATCCGGGCCTCTGCTGTGATCGTGCTGGGTGGCTGCACCCCCCCCTCCCAGCCAGCGGCCTCCACATCCCAGGCCGTGTGAGCTCTGGGGTCAGAGCAGCGACACCACCCAAGTCCCGCTCCCTGGGCCTCACCCCAGGCCCTGTCAGCAGCTCGCCGGCAGCCACTTTCTGATGAAGGAGCGGACGCCAGGCACCGCCTGCCGGGCAGGTGGTGGGAGGCGCCTGGTAAAGCTGGGCTCTGCGGCTGGTGCCAGGCTTCTGGGCGCAGAGTGGTGTCCGGTGCCGGTCAGCCCCTCTGTGCCCTCCCCGCCCTCGCTCCTGGGAGCGCCAGCTCCCTGCCTGTGCTCCCCCGGCCCCGGTGCGGTGGGCGTGTGGCTCCAGACAGCAGCCACAGTGAGGGTGTGCAGCGGTGCTCAGCCTGGGGGCCTCGGGACGGCCGGAGGCAGCAGTGGGGTCCTCGTTCGCAGTAGGGCTACGTGCTAGGGCTTCTGTCTCCTGCTGGAGTTACTTTCCTTTATTCCACATTTTGGAAAATAAATGCCCAACCCACGCAGGGAGGGTGCTCCAGCACCTGCAGAGGCAGCGGCGAGGCAGGTGCGCCCTGGATGTGGGCCCGGCTGCCTCCGGGCCGGCCCTGGGCTTCCACAGACCTCGCCCAGGAAAAGCGTGTCCCTGGCCGGACCGCCCCGAGTGTGGGGTCAGTAGCCCCCTCCAGCGGGCAGTGCGGGGTCTGGTGCCTCATCCCGGCTCTGCTGCTGGTGGCCGGGCCAGGCCTGTGCAGAGCCCACACCCTCAGCCCAGCTGCCTCGGAGGCTCCGGCTCAGGGCTCGCGTCCTGGTGCTGGCGGCCGGCGGCCGGGCGCTCTCCGTGTCCCCGCAGGCAGCTCTGCCCGCAGCCAGGCCCGGCCTCGGCCTCTCCCACTCCTTGTGGACGAAATGCTTTGTCTTCGTGCTGGACGCCTGTGGACGGGCGGGCAGGCGGTCATCCCAGCAGCCTGGGGACTGCAGTGCTCGGAGCCCCCGTCCAGCCCCCATCCAGCCCCGAGGCCCGGGTGAGCGCCAGTGCCCTGCAGCCTGTCACTCGGGCGCGTGTGTGTCTATGTGTGTGCGTGTGTGTGTGTGTGTGTGTGCGCGCGCGCGCGCGCGCGCGCTCGCTGTGGGGAGGGGAACACCCCACTGAGTGACCGTGTACTGTCTCAGGCAGGAAGCCCAGACTGGACAGTCCAGAGCCCCGGGCCATGCTCATGTCTCCAGGGGAAGCCAGGGCCCTTTGGGGGGCCCCACCCCCACAGGAAGAGCAGAGGGTCCCTAGGGCACACCTGCGCCATGGCCGCCCTCAGTCCCACCCTGCTTGGCCTAAGCAAGTGCTGGGGTCCAGTCATGGGCCACCAGACGCAGCCTGGTACCCACGTGGGGTGCACAGCCCAGCGCCCCCTCTCTGCCCCTCGCTCCACTGCACTGCCCGCGGCTGCCGACAGCTGGGTGCTGACCTGAGCCTGGTGGTCAGGCCGTTGGCCAAGAGAGCCCAGCAGCGGGTGACGCCTCGGCGGCGGGGACCGGTGCTTGTCTTGCTGCCGCCAGCCTTTCTGTGGTGCCCGCGGGCCGTGGTCATTGCCACCATCCTCTGGGACTGGGCACGCCCCTTCCACACACAGATGCCCCGAACCCCTGCTGCCCTGCCCCCCAGCCGGCGGTCTGTGTGCGCGCACGTGCGGGAGCCGGAAGGAGGCCCTGGAGGTGGCCTGTGAGCCCAGCCCAAGGCGGAGGGCGCACGGCCGCCTGTGAGGCTGCCACCCCCAGGCCCTGACGCTGGTGAATTCCACCTGGCTCAGGGAGGAGGAGGGAGGGGCTGACGGAGCTGGTTGGTTTGTTGTTTTAGAAGATTCCAGAAGGAGCGAGTGTTGTCAAGGGACTGGCGCTTTATGGGGGGCCTGGTAGGGGGCGTGGGCGTGGGGGGAGCAGAGATCGGAGGGGGCTGGAGCTCCAACTCTGCTCGGCTCTGCTCTGGGGCCGCGGTCCTGGGCCTGTCCCCTGAGGGCCCACCTGACCCAGAGTGAACAGTGTCCCGTCTTCCTGGGAGAGCGGTCGCCGCCCAGCCCCCGGTGGGGGGGCACTTGTCTGGTTGGGAGGGAGGAAGGGGGGCCCTGCCCTGTCAGAGGAGAGCCAGCCGCCCCGGCCCAGGGCAACACCAGACCCCAGAGCCAGTCTGCTCCCGCCCAGCCCTCTGCGGGGTCAGCTCTGACCGTGCTGAGCGGGCGCCCGCGGGTCTGCACCCCTGGCCTCGGGCGAGGGCGGGGTCGGGAGTGAGGTGCAGCTCCTGGAACCCTGACGGTCCCCTTCCCCTCAGGAGAGAGCGGAGAGCGCGAGCTCAGAGGCGGAGCTGTCCCCGGAGGAGAAGCGGGTCCTGGAGAGGAAGCTGAAGAAGGAACGGAAGAAAGAGGAGAGAAAGCGGCTCCGGGAGGCGGCGGCTGCGGCCCCGGCCCCAGGCCAGCCCCTGCCGGCCAAGCCCTCGGGTGCCCAGCTGGCCCTGGACTACCTCTGTGGGTGAGAGGCCGCGGGGGATGGGGGGGCTGGGCTGTACCCCAGGTCTGTGGTCTCTGGGAGGACGGGGCCGCCCGTTCTGGCCGGGGCTGCTCTGTGCTGCCCGTGAAGTGCCCCTGTCCCCGGCAGACGGCCTGTCGCTCGGCAGGTCACCTACAGCTGGGCGGCCAGCGGGGCCCCACACCCCCCAGAGGAATGGCAGGTGGACCCGGGGCACCCCCGCCTCACCCCAGGCCTCTCTCCATGTCTGTGCCCT